AAAAAAATTCTCTGGACTTTGGAACTTCAGCTGACTCACATTCACATTGCCCTTGAATTTCAAAGAGCTTAAAAATATGTATGCAGATTAGCCACAGGAAAAAAATTGGTCTTCATCAGTGAAAGCATTCCCACACTCTCGTGGGCTCTGTGGAAACAGGCAGGTTTGGCTCTCCTAAGCCAAGCATTTTCCCAACTCCCTGCCCTTCTCTAATCTCAGGACTTCCTTTTTCTCAAAACATATTTGTTTTTTCAAGTGCCGAATGCGTTCTCCTCCGTGCCTGCTTATAGACCTCAAGGACTTCTCCTTTCCCACCAAAACTATAAAAGTTAAATTTTTCATCAGTCCCTTGGTGTAAGTTACACATTATCACAGGACGAAAGGAAGGAAACTGCAGTTAAAGATCATTCTGATGCTTTCGTTATCACAAGTATTCACCCAAAGGGATGGTTAAACTCAGGACTTCAAGTTAGAAACAAAGTTCTAAAGACAATTTCCTTCGAATGGTCATATACTGCATAGTCAGTTTGGAGCTTTTGTTTTTATGCACAGTAATAATGAACCCCTGGAATAATAGACCTGTCATGACGCTGGCTATGTATGGAGAGGTTGGAAAGCAAACTCAGCACAGTCATGCCAGAGGAGCTTATCACCTGTTACCTGGAAACCCAGGTCAAGGGAAAAGGACACCCCCCTCCTCATTCATCTCACCAGGCCCTTGGAGCTCAGAGCCTGGAGAAACATTGTACCAGTTTGTCCTTTGTCTCTTGGGCTCCCTGCTAGATGTAACACATTTTAGACTCTCTTTGTCTTTTGCTGTAGGACCAAGGCCTCTTTTTTTAAGGAAACAGATGACACAAAAGAACATGCATAAAATGTGGAAATTCATATCTAAGCATTCATAAAGTTGACCATGTTTGGCCTTGACTGAAAGCAAAGTTTTCTCTGAGGCTGATTTATATTTAGCTTCCTTCTGTTCTTTACAATTGGTAAAACCAGCTCCAGCAACACTTCTTTTGAAGTGTTTGAAGGCCATAAGGAGAAGTGAAAAAGAGCACAGGATTTAAAGAAAGAAGAACCTAGCTCAAGTCAGCCACTTATGGGGTTGTGTGCCCTTGGGCAAATTCTTTTATCCTCTGTGGGTTTTAGTTCTTTTATCTGTAAAATGGGGATAAAAATATCTAGCTCTTATCAAGAGATCTCTGTCAATTCTAAGGTTTTATGTAAATATAGCTCTTATTTGGAATCCATTGAGAAAGGATATAAGATGTCCCTCAAATGGCAAGTTGTATAGAAATGGTCATTAATTGGAGTTTCAAGACTGTGGGCCAAACTCTCTACTGTGTTGTCACTTCTCGGGCTTTCCGTCAGCTGTCTTAGTCCCTTTTTACAGAAAGGTACAAGAGAAAAAAGGTACCACTTTAACATTGTAGCCAATGTAAAAATCACTTGGGGGGTTCAGTGTTCCCGAAGACAGTTAGGGGCAGCTTCACAAGGAAAATAACACTATAACTGGGTCTTAAAGAACAATAGCAAATCTTCTTGTAAACAAAGAGAGAAAGAGGATTCCAGTGAAGGAAGAAGGTACCCAAAATCATGGAGGTAAGGAGAAGAAAGAAAGGGTGTACAGGAAAGTCATTCAGGAAAATCTGCCTTAGAAGGAGCATGGGAATGCACAGGAAGAAATGCAGAAGGAATATGAGAGTGCACAATGCCAAGAGGCTGGGGCCAGTCATTCAGACTGATTGGAACATTCCCACTGAGCTTGCTGCCCCACGTGGCATTCCATTCTGCTAGAAAATTCTGTGTCGATGAAATGTGGACAGATAATGTTGGAAAGATAAATGAGTAACATTTGTGAAATTATTTGAACTCTTCAAAAGAAAAGACCCACACTGATTTCAGAAATTTTGGTTCAGATAATTGGAATTTAAAATATGATGTTTTAGTTGATTAATGTCTGTACTGTCTTTTGGCCTTCAAGGGACTGAGAGAAATAATCCACAGATTTTTAAAAAATTAATGGAATTAGTAAAGTGCACAGAAGATGTCAATGTCTAAATGTGGCAACCCATTAGCTCTCACTACATGGTACCACTGCCCCCAACCACAAGTATCCCCAATCTCCACTCAGGTGGATTCAGCCTTTGCAAAGCTCAGCACTCCACAGCCCCATCCAAATCTTGCCTATTTATAATGCCCCTAAGCCCTAGCATAAGACTCAGTCAGCTAACCCTGTGCTAAGTTGCTGTGCAATTCGCTGAAGATACAAAATGAATAGCCAAGACTTTCTTCCTGCAAGGAGCTCACCTGGGGAGGGAAATAGATACAAAAACAACTGATTATAGCACAGAGTGATAGACACTCCGATAGGGGTGTGAGCCCTCCAAAAGGAGGGCGGTTCAGTGTTCCCGAAGACAGTTAGGGGCAGCTTCACAAGGAAAATAACACTATAACTGGGTCTTAAAGAACAATAGCAAATCTTCTTGTAAACAAAGAGAGAAAGAGGATTCCAATGAAGGAAGAAGGTACCCAAAATCATGGAGGTAAGGAGAAGAAAGAAAGGGTGTACAGGAAAGTCATTCAGGAAAATCTGCCTTAGAAGGAGCATGGGAATGCACAGGAAGAAACGCAGAAGGAATATGAGAGTGCACAATGCCTGAGAGGGAAGCCTGAGACTAGTTCTTGATAACTTTTTTTGCCAAAAGAATTTGACTTCAGTTGGTGATACAACCATTGAAGATGTGGTGATAAGGTAATCTTTGGAAGATGGGTAATGAGGTAAACATCAAGAGGAGAGAGCAACTGAGGACAAAGAGAGCCATGACTGAGACACAAACTGAACGTTCCTTCAATGTGCAAGAATAAAATAACAGCTAACATCAATCTGAGATATTGCCTCAGCATCAAAGACAGAACAACTGTTTCCAAAAGATGCCTGTGAAGGCTTGGAAAGCATTGGATATCATTTTGCATGCCCAGGGTATGGTTTGAGGAAAACTGAACATTTTTGTGTGGCCTTAACGGTAGTCATGACCAAACTGATAAGGTGATAAGTCAAAAGAGATAACAGATCTTGTCTGAAACTTAATTATTACACCAATAAATACGTCGATGAACTTGAAGGACAATGGACACACCTGAATGAGTTCAAGAGATGATAAGAATGACTATTAAATCTTCCCAAGTTTGGAACTAATCCTGAAGAATCATGTTTCTACTAACTAAAAATACAATTCAAACCTTAAAGGAAAAAAAAAAAAAAAAGAAGTAATGCTGGAAGAAGTCAGCCAGGGAAGAAGGAATAAGTATTCTTTAAAATCAGAGGTTCTGCCTTACAGAAAAATAAATAACTAGAGATTTCTTTTGATGAACAGCATGTTAAGAAAATTGCAGAATGGTAAAAAAAAAATACTGTTTACCTACAAAAATAACCATTACCTCACCAAGCTTCACATCTCTAAAATATGGTTTTAACTCTATTTTGAGCAGTATGCAGTGTGTGTAGATTGTTCTGATTTCAGTTGTCAATAGAACTTATAACAAAGGGTTAAGAGAAGGTCTGAATCTAGTGTCTTGATTACCATAAGATTAAACAGCAGGGCAATATATTTAGATCACAACAGTGAAAATTCCAAGCAGTAAGAGAAAGCATGTCTTGGTTTACTAGTTTGGAAATAGGAAAAGAGAAAATTTTCAAGTTAACTGACCCAAAACTCGGAGAATAAGAAGTTAGTTCCAAGAAACTGATTGCATCATTTCAGTGGGCCAGAACAGAAAAATCATGATTTAAATTTTATAGTTCTTTTTAAATTTTCTAATTTACCACTTGGTTGATGAAACATTAATGCTGTGGGAGCTAAAATCTTTGAAGTCTTTGGCACCATGCCCTCGTCAATTTGACATAAAACTCTACTAAACTGGTTCAGTATTAGAATAAAGGAAGGGAGGGTCCTACTTTTTAAAAATCAAATTATTCTGACCTCATCACCAAGCTCACAGCTTTCCAGGCATATGTAGAAGAAGTAATTATAACGCCAAAGTATGAATTATAGCAAGTTTCATAACCAGAATGAATTATGGCTCCTTCTCTTGCAGTAAACAATTCGTTTTTCAAATCTGTATTCCCCAGACAGCAGAGCCAGACTTTGCTTTTCAAGTGCTTCATTTAAATAGGCAGTATGTCAGTGAAGTTTGAGACGGCAGAGTTTCTGGGTGCAACGAGCCCTTCACCTCTAAGAGTTGGGTGCCTGGGGCTGGAAGGCAACGGTTTTTAGGAGAAGGAATGCAACTTCTAAGAAAAAAGAATACAGCTACATTAAATGCTCAACACTTTCTTTAAATTCTAGAATTCAGATGTTCTGCATTGTGAACTAGAATGAATGTGCTCTAATTTTTTGGTCTAAAAATCTTCCAAGCTGGAACTTCCACTCAAACACGGCACTGTCAATTCCTAAGCATTTCTATGTTGGCCCTGGACATTGCCTTGACAACCCACTCATTCGTAGGTGTAGTTTCTAACACTCCTGCCTTAACTCACATAATCTTTTCATGACTTAATCTTGGCTTTTGACCTGCCACTTAGCCAAGTGGTTTTTGTTGTTTTGCTTGGTGTGCGTGTGTGTGTGTGTGTGTGTGTGTGTGTGTGTGTGTGTGTGTGTGTGTGTTGTTGTTGTTGTTGTTGTTTGTCTACAAAGCAGTAGACAACTTCTCTGCACAGCCATAAAGACCTTTGTGTTTCTGCTTTTCTCTGACAGGCTCCAGAGATGAGATAGATTGAAGCTCAGAGTGAGTGAGTGTGAGGGCATTAGGGAAGAATTACTTGGATCATATCATATGACTAAGTTAGGTGGAAAAATTAGAATGGATGCTGCATAAATGTCAACTACAAATCCCAAATTGTGACCTAAATGTTTTCAATGTCTTGAAAATGATGTACAGGTGTCTGTTTGGCCATTTGCTTTTGTGTATTTACTCACCTATCGCTGGTTCTTTTGCAGAATGCCCTGGCTAAAGCAACTGTGAAGGAACTTGCCTCACTGCATGGTACCAAGTACACATATGGCCCAGGAGCTACAACAATCTGTGAGTCTTGGCTTCAGAACTGTGCAAAGAGCCACGTGCCTAAAAAGCCAAAAAGTGGTTCTCAGAGCCTTTCTTTTCTAGTCATTTAAAGCACGTGGCTTTTGCCTCATGGTGAATTTTTCTGAAATGTGTCATTCGTTTTCTGTTAAAAAAAAAAAAAACAGAAGGAAAATATTCTTTGCAACCAATGGAAACATTTGCTCTCTGTAAGCACCTATTAAACACCTACTGTGGACCAGGCCTTCTCTAGGTGCTAAAAGAAAAAGAAAGAGAGGATAGATGGAAGAAAAAAGGAAAGGAGAAAGGAGGAGAACTCAGAGCATTCTTCAAAGAACCCAGAGTAGAGAAGCAGGAAAAGTAAACAGTTGATTGTGAGGCAGGTGCTACGTACTGTGACAGCAGGATGCACAAGAAGAGATCACATCTGAGGATCAACTTATCCGCCCCACAGTATCAGGCATAACTTCCCAAGGTGACTTAACAGATGCTTTGTCTGAAAGGACCATGCTTTAGCATAAGAGGGCATGTTTTCCTGTCTAAACAGATGGCAGGTACCAGGGCTACTTGAGGCACTAGCTGCCTTCAAGGGGTAGACATTGGTCTCTGGGACCAGCCACTCAGTGTGTGCAGGCAAGTGGCAAGAGATGCATAGCAGGAGAGTAGTCAGAGCGAGACACTGAGCTTTGGGTCCTGCGGTTTAGATTTCTCTGGAAGGCACATTCCACAGGCCCATTTTCAATGTCTATGAATATTTTCCTTTGTCTTCAAATGATTTCTTTCCACCCAAGATCTGAAAGGAATAGGCATACACACAAGAAAACAGGCCCAGTCTTGTCATCAAGGGACCTCCAGTGCAGTTGGGGATGCTCCAACTCTTGAGTTGTTGAGTTTCTCTAAAGCCTTAAGTAGAACACGCCTTTCTGTATTCTCATTATTTTTTTAAACTGCTCTACATCAGATGGGGTATATTGTCCTCTTAAGGGGTTTCTAGCAGAAATAACCCATCTCTTTATATATTGTGAACTTCCTGTATGTTTTATTCAGACAAGTTCTTTTTCCATTATATCATAAGTCCTGGAGGGCAGGTACAACAGCTCTCCTCTGTCTGGTGTCTCCAGAGTTGAGTCCCTGGCCTGCTGTTCAGTGGGGCTGTATTGTTGTTGACTGAATAAATCGGTAAACGAATGAATGATTGAATGAGTGCATGGTCTATGTGTTAGTGACAACATAATTGTTATTGAATGAATTACTATCTGAAATGATTGCCTAATCTATGCCAGGCGCCATGCTAGACACCGAAGACATGAAAATGAAAGCACAGCTCTGCCCTCAAACTTCTTCAATTTCATCATTAAAAATAGTTTTATCAGGGTTTATGGTCTTCTCCTCTCCCTGTTCATCATGTGGTTTTTCTTATTCTCCTGGAAGAAACACCTTCTTTCACACTATGTAAAAGATAGTTTACAATAGTATGCAAGCACATCGATTTTTTTTCTTTGCTTTGCTTTTTTTTTTTTGAGTCAAAGTCTCACTCTGTCACCCAGGCTGGAGGGCAGTGGCATGATCATGACTACCGCAACCTTGACATGCTGGGCTCAGGCAATCCCTCTGCCTCAGCCTTCCAAGTAACTGGAACCACAGGTGTGCGCCACCATGTCCAGCTAATTTTTTTTACTTATTGCAGAGACAAGATCTCGCCATGTTGCCCAGGCTGGTCCTGAACTCCTGGGTTCAGGCAATCCTCTCACCTCAGTCTTGCAAAATGCTGGGATTGCAGACATGAGTCACTGCGCCCAGCCTAAATACACAGAATTGTATCTTAAAAATTACACTTTCTGAGGGATTAAGCACATCACTCCTAAATATATCAAATTAGTTTAGTGGTAAGATTGAACTATCTTTTTAAAACAGCGCCCACATTATTTATGATCCAGTTTACTAACAAATTTGCCACCCCATAATATTTTGCACAAACATTTGTAATCATAAAAGAAAATAAGCAAAGTTTGTTTTGTTTTGTTTTGTTTCAAGCAATGTGTTTTTAAGTTCCTTCCTAAACATGAAGATTTTTTTTCTCCGGCTGTTTGCACATTTCAGATCCTGCTGCTGGAGGTTCTGACGACTGGGCTTATGACCAAGGAATCAAATATTCCTTCACCTTTGAACTCCGGGACAAAGGCAGATATGGCTTTCTCCTCCCTGAGTCCAAGATCCGGGCCACTTGTGAGGAGACCATGCTGGCGATCAAGTACATCGCCAACTATGTCCTGGAACACCTGTACTAGTCGAAAGCTGAGAGTCATATATCAAAATGCTCACTTTTCCCTGCTTGTCAATCTTGAATTCTTATTTTTGTTTGCCTGGATGTCTTATGGATCCCAATCTTTCTTTTAAGCTTCTGGGTCTATTAAACTAAGTGAATCTTTTTCATATTGATCGTAATAAAAGTGTATCATAACTAGAAAACCTGATGGATGGTCTACTTCTTTGGTGTGTATGAACGGCTAAGCAGGCAGTGCACAGGCGATAGTATGGTCAGTTACACAGGTGTTAAAGTCCTTGGGGTGTTGGTGGAAACTGGCAGAGTGCAGTGATACACAGGTTATAATGGAGGATTGTAAGAAGAAAAAGAGAAATTGAGGACATAAAACCTGATATAGATGAAAAGTCACCATCTTAGTGTAGCTTTCACTGAAGTTATTTTATGAGTTATCTAGTATGTGTAATGCACTTTGCAAGCAATTGAAGACAGAGCAATGCCAGCTGCAGTGGCTTATGCCTGTAATATCAGCACTTTGGGAAGCCAAGGCAGGAGGATTGCTTGAGCCAAGGAGTTTGAGACCAGCCTAGGAAACATAGTGAGACCTCATCTCTACAGAAAATTTAAAAATTAGCCAGGCGTGGTGATGCGTGCCTGTAGTCCCAGCTACTCAGGAAGCTTAGGAGGAAGGATCACCCGAGCCCAGCAGGTTGAAGCTGCAGTGCTCTGTGACCATGCTACTGCCCTCCAGCTAGGTAGTAGAGTGAGACTTCAACTCAAAGAAACAAAAATGAAAACAGAACAATGAAAAAGAAAGATAGCATTTGTGCCCTCAATGGATGTGTAGGCCATACGTGAAGACAAATATTAAACAAATAATTCACTTATTACTTAGTAATTTATTAAGTCGTGGTTTAATTTACATTAGGCAAATAAATGCTGAATGAACTGCACAAAAAGAACGTACAGAAGGTCTACCTGCCTGATGAGAGGACAGGGCTCCCTCAGGAAGTGCTATCCTCTGAGAAATGAGTTAGCTGGACAAAGGGAGTGCATTTTTCCAGGCCTGTGACTATTCTGATGGAGTAAGAAGAAAGCCATGAGGGTGGCCTTCAGAGAGCTGAGGGAAGAGGAATGGGTGTAGAGTCTGGGGAGGGAGGTGGGAACCACATCAGGCAGAGTTAGAGGCCATGTCAAGGATTTGGGACATTGGGCTAAAAACAGTGAGAAGCCATTGAAGATAGTAAGTTGTAAATGACATGATCAGAGTGTTTTTCAAGCACCAACTAGTATAGGCAGCAAGTCAGAAGTGAGACGAGGCTGCCAGGAACCCGGGCTAGACCAGTTGGGCCAATGAAAATGGCAAATGTCACTCCATAACTTGTATAATATATCACACACAACTTGATGTTTTCCGGGATTAGAACTGAACATGCGAATGTTGGAAATTATTGTGCCAAGTTCAAACTCGAAGATCTCATGATACATATTTAGGTTATAATTTGGAGGCATCTTTTACTTTAAAATCATAGAACAAAACATTAACTTGCTATTCTCTATGTGGATTTAAGAAAAATGGGAAATATCTGTCTGGGGAAGGGGAAACACCTCTTATCAACAGGGTGCCTGAATGAAACGTAATTGTACACCTAACCCTTAACCGTACCCCACAAAACCATAATAAAAAATATTGATTTAAAAAAAAATAAAAATAAAAACCACCAGATTAAAAATAAAAATAAAAAAAAAGAAAAATGGGATTCCACATTGATCATAATATTTTAAAATATCCATAACAGTGTTCTAGTTATAAAAAGAGTCCTTTGAAGTCACAACGGCTTAGAAGTTGTCAAAGAATGATTAATTGCATTAATTGTCCACTAGATGGTAGCAGTGCACGTCTTCAAAATAAGTAATACATCATTAAAAGATAGAAAGACCCTTAGTGCAAAAAAGAAATCCCCGTTAATTCTTCAGCAGTATTGATAGTAATAAAAAATTAGATGTAATTTAGCTAAATTATCTTTTACTCACTCTAAGTTATTTCCAGTTTGCAAATTAAGAATCATAGTTACCTGAGTGAAGTAGTCTTGCTGGAGGTGTGTCATTCGATTCCTGTCCCGCGGCATACTCTCTTATGCTGCCTCTGGTAGGTAACGTCAACCCTTAACTAAGGGATGCTGTGGCCCAAAGTATGTAAGGCACTTCAGTAAATCACAAAAAAACTCTCCAAATTCCCTAAATTGAGTGCTTTAAAATAGAAAGTAGGAATATGTGTGGGCTTTTAAAAAATTATAAAGAATTTTTAAAGAGAAGAATAAGACATAGAAAGAAAATAAACACATATTATCTCTTGAAATCTCATCTATCTGAGATGTTCTGCACTGGAGGCGTTTTTTGTTTGTTTGTTTTGAGCTGGAGTCTCACTCTTGTCGACCAGGCTGGAGTGCAATGGCACGCTCATGATCACCGCAGCCTCAACCTGCTGGACCCAGGCAATCCTTTCGCCTCAGCCTTCCAAGTAGCTGGAACTACAGACACATGCCACCACACCCGGCTAGTTTCTGTGATTTATTGAGGAGACAGGGTCTCACCAAGTTGCCTAGGCTGGTCTCAAACCTCCGGGCTCAGGCAGTCCTCTCACCTCGGCCCCCCAAAGTGCTGGAATTACAGTCCAAGCTACCATGCCCGGCCTCATTGCCGTAACTCCCACCTACTGAAAGGTAACAGATAGCTGGCTAGAAGCTCCACTTGCCCAAACTAAACCAAGAAAAACAAAAAGAGAAGTCTGCCTTTGTTCTTCCCAATGCAATAAATAAGTGTCTGGTGCCTTCCCGCCCAGCTGACCGGAAACAGCGGCAAGTCCCCCGCCAAGCTAGCCTTGCCTGCCCAAGAGCCCCAGGCTGTGAAGGCCTCTCTTCTCCTCCTTCCTTCAACCTATTCCCATCCTAGGCTCCTGGCCCTTCCTTCAGTCATCTCCCCAAAGCAACAATTAACCAACAGCACAGTGCCCCCCGAACCTTCCTTTCTCAAATAATGTGGCTAGAAAATAGCAGGACTGGTTTTCCCATCTGGATTATGAAATTCTTTCATACCTAGAATCATAAGCCATGTGATCATCTGCTTTTGCAAGCTGACCTGTATGAATTGGTCAAAGAGAGAATTTCTAAAAGGAAGAACCATGACAAGTCAGCGAGTTAATTTAGTGACCAAGTGGGGATTTGATGAGACTCTTCAGGTCATCTCTTTGGAGCAGCGCAGCTGCTGCAATTTGTCATGCACTCATCTTCAATATAAGTAATACATTAATTAAAGAGAGAGAGAAAGAGAAAGACCTTTAAGAGCAGGTAGTCACCCTTCCTCTACCGGGCACTGCCTGAATCACAGACTCAGATATTTGCCCAGAACTGTCACTTTTGCTGCAACGAATGAAGATAAATTTCTCTGCAGCATTTGAGGGTTGTTTGGTTTCAGTGTTAAGAATCCACCATCTATGGCTAAAATCAACACATTTTACTTTTAGTATACCTTTTATGAGATATCTTGAATGCATCCCAGAAGTTTATTGGATTTGAAGATGGAGACTTATTTGGAAGATTCTATTAATTTACTTCCCTTTTGTTTTGTTACTTTTTTTTCCTACTGCTTACTTCTTCAAGGCATCAATTCCATTTTCTGGAACATTTCTTTTATAGTTACAACATTTGAAAATATATAGAGAAAAGCATAGTTAAAAATACAAAGTGGTATTTTAAACCTTGGCTAGACGTCCATGGCTAGATACGGCAAAAATTCTAGGAGTACAAATCCCCAGAAAGAAAATTATTGCTATGTGAAGCATTCAACTTTAAATTACTTTTTGAAGAGATTAATTTAGCCTGTGAAACATCACACAGTCAATCTTAAAATGATATGGTATCCAACAACTATTCGTCCTACTCCACACATATGCCAAGACCTTTTATAAATCCTGATGCGGTAATATAAGGTTGCAGTGAATTATGCCTGCCAAGAAATAGTACCTATTCTGAGAAAAAGCTCCAGAATATTCTTGAAATCTATTTATTATACCTTTTTCCAGAGGCTAGATTGTGGATGGAGGTAGTTTTAAATGCATCCCATGTTGATATCCTATATCAGGAACAAGGAATTGTCAATATGTAATTACAATTAAGAAGACAAAGACATATTGTAATTATCATTAAAGTCTTGTTCTATGAGATACCAGGGTTCTGGAAATACTCACCAGATCTCCAAATAAAGCAGAAGTATCCTTCTTGCTTGACACGAAAAACAGACATAGAAGCCTTCTCTACACAGGTTTAAAACCAGTTATACAAGAAAGACTTCAAGAAAATATATCAGAATACTAAAATTTAGAGAGATTTCTAGCTTCTTTCAACTTTACAAAATTATTTTCAACAGGTATTTACAATTTTTAAAAGCAGAAAACAAGACTCCAAAAATCAAAGCTGTCATATTTTTTTTTTTAAGTCTTGAAGTAGTCCACATTAAAACAATTACAGAGAAAAGCTTCATCCCTAAAGGTCATGGCCACCATGCTAATCTACCACATGATATTTGCTGATACTCATCAGTACTGCTGCCTGGCAGTGGCCAACTGTAAGTCTCTGTTTACAGAATCTGACAATTGTATCAACTGTCTAGAGGGCATCGGCGTGTTTTTTAGAATATACCATACATCAAGCTCCTGTCATATGCCCTCCCATTAACCCTCACAGCCACTAGTTAGAGTCACATTAGCACCCTCATTTTACAAATGAAGAAGTCAAGGCCCAGAATCAGTAGGCACCCTGCTCAAGGTGCTCTACTTGTGTGTTTGGGGGCCACTCTGAAGTGCTGTCTGTCTAACTCAAAGTCAAGTTCTTTCTTTTTAATTGTGCCCCGGACAAATTAAAAATTTGGGAGCTCTCAGAGCAATGAGTTTGCTCAATGTCAAGATCATGAAGGCATTTGTAAAACTGTCCTCTTCCTCATCTGCAAGGGAATCCATTTGGGGGTCAGGGAATCCACTTGGGGAAATAAAGTCTGACGTTTTATCACTCACCTATCAGATGGTGAAGAATGGAACTATTATTGCTGTACATATAACAGGGGCATCTCTCCAACGATATTATTTCGATAATAAAAATATACAATATTGACCCTGAGAAGTTTGTCTATTCATTTGTCAATGTGAAGAGGCAGTTTTTAAAAAAATTGTAATAAGTTATCTGATTCGATTAGTTCACTCGCTTTACTACGTTACCTATGATTCTGGGTAAAGGTGTTATTCTTCCAAATAATCCATAATTATCTGATTGTGTTCAAGACTAAAGATGTCTCCAATAGTCTGTATTAAATGGTCTATAGATAGCACTCATTAATTCGACTTGCAAAAAGCATGATTTGGCACCCACAGTATCCAGACTTTGAAGACAGTATCCAATGAATAAATATTACAACATCAGTATTCTCTTGCCTTCAAGGAGTCCTTGAGTGACTTTAGCAATGGGGGTTACCTCCAAGGACAGAGGGAAGAGATGGGCAAAGGAGTTGGAAAACGCATACTTTAGCTTTTTAGTGTTTACCTCTTTCCAAAGAGAGATACTGAGCAACTATAGCAGAAGTATTATCATCATCAAATCTAGATGGTAAATACGTCAATATTTTCCATTGCTCTTATAATATTTTAGTATATTTGCAATATTTTGTAATTTAAATATTTTCCATTTAAAACTTACAATCTAGCTTCAAAATCATTATTAAGGACCATTCACCAAGGTTCTTTGCTGAGATAACCAAACTCATTTCAGTCTCCAAGTGCAAATTTTGTTTTATTTTATTTATTTATTTATTTTGAGTTGGAATCTCACTCTGTTGCCCAGACTGGAGTGTAGAGACACACTCATGGCCACCACAGCCTCCACCTGCTGGGCTCAAGTGATCCTTCAGCCTTAGCCTTCCAAGTAGCTGGAACCACAGGTGCATGCCAAAAAAATACCCAGCTAATTTTTTTTATTTATTGTAGAGACAACATCTCACCATGTTGTTCAGGCTGGTCTCAAACCCCTGTCTCAGGCAATCCTCTTGCCTCTGCCTCCTAAAGTGCTGGGATTACAGGTTTGTGCCACTACAACTGGTCTCCAAGTGCAAATTTTAAAATGGAATTTTTCTATCATTCAACTCAAGCAGAGTAATAAAGTAGTATTTTAGAACAGACAGAACTGGGTTTAAATCCCAGCTTTCTGAGCATATTGCCTCTGTGACCTTGGGTAAGTTATGTGCTTAAAGTCATTTCCCTCCCATCCTGGATCTGTAAAATGGGTATTTGTGACTGTAAAAGGCAGAGTAACATGGACTCAGTGGGTTAGGAGTATTCTCTCCCTCCCCAGCTAAAAAAATCTGGTGGTGGCAGGGAGGGAACAGCTTGCCCAACAGAAGCCTAGGAGGAAATCATCTGCTCTTCAAGATAAGGGTGGAGGCATAAAACGGGCAGAGGGTCTCCAAGCAAGTAAAGAAGAATCATGTGGCTCATCCTTCCCGTGGGTTTGATCACCACCACCCTTGCGATCACTCCTGCCCGTTTTGACAGGTAAAGCTCACATCCCATGTTCCCATCTCTAAGTGGGAAGAGACTTAAGAGTGTGTCTTCACAGTTCATATTTTTTAATCTCTTGCCTCCTTAAAGGGAAAAGGTGTTTCGTGTGAAACTGCAAGATGAAAAACAAGCAAACATCATAAAGGACTTGGCCAAAACCAATGAGGTAAAGCATTTAAAGGGATATTTTCTCTTTCCTTTCTCTTCTCTAAAAGATTCTTTTCTTTTCTTTTTTTCTTTTTTTTTTTTTGAGTTGGAGTCTTACTCCATTGCCTAGGCTGGAGTGCGGTGGCACACTCACAGTCACCCTAGCATCAACCAGCTGGGCTCCGGCTATCCTTCCACCTCAGCCTTCCAAGTAGCTGGAACTATAGGCACATGCTACCATGCACGGCTAATTTCTTATTTATCGTAAAGACAAGGTCTCGCCAAGTTGCTTGGGGTTGGTCTCGAACCCATGGGCTCTGGCAATCCTCTTGCCTTGGCCTCCCAAAATGCTGAGATTACAGGCTGAGCCACAGATCCTTCTTTTTAATTTTATTTCAAACGTCCACAGGGCTACTAAAAACAATCAAACACAAGGGGAAATGGCAGGAACTACCAGAGTAATTCAGTCAATGGCCAATACTTCACTTGTTTTGTTTTGTTTTTGTTTTCGCAAACTCTCTCTTCGGTTTTTCCTCCCCAAAGTTTTGCAAACAACAGCTTTTTCTAGATATAACTGAAATCAGGAGATATTCTTTACTCCTTTATCAGGGCATCTTTTTCCTCCCTCCTGGTGCCTTTCTCTTGCCTTTCTCCCCATCTCCACCCCCATCTTCTCTGGTGGTATAATTTCTGTTAAAATACTAACTGATAACATCAAGGGTACTGGCTGACATCAGGATGTGAACCTTTCCAAGAACAGGTACATTTACAAAGAAGACTCTTCAAGTTAGATCCACCATTTAAAATCCAATAGGTGAAAATAATCATTTTATCATTAATTCAGCAGCTCCAATAAGGCACATTGTGCCAGCTACCTTACATATTCTCCAAAAGATTTTCGATGTCAGGGTCATAATATAACCCCTTTAAAATGGAAGAACTGAATTGCAAAGGCTATAAATTAAATGACCAAGACTACAAATCAGATTTAAACTCAGAACTGAATCTGGGATTTATCCTCGTCACACACATTCTTTTTGTTTGTTTGTCTGCTTTTTTATTTTTATTTTTTTGAGTTGGAGTCTCACTCCATCGCCCAGACTGGAGTGCAGTGGCCGCTCCCGGTCCCGCAGCCTCCACCTGCTGGGCTCCGGCGATCCTTTTGTCTCAGCCTTCCAAGTAGCTAGAACTACAGGTGCACGCTACCACGCCCAGCTAATTTTTGATTTATTGTAGAGATGAGGTCTCGCCAAGATGCCCAGGCGGGTCTCGAACCCACGGGCTCAGGCAATCCACTCACCTCAGCCTCCCAAAGGCGCAAGATTACAGGCTGAGGCAACAAGCCCAGCTGTCACACACATTCTTAACTCCACATCAAATCAGTCAAAAGTTCTGCTTATTCTCATTCCCAAATGTTTCTCAAATTCATACTTTACCCTCTATTCTACCACTACTACCAAGTTCATGCCCACTCTACCTCTTGCTGGAATAATTTTGAGAGTTCCTTAACTAGCCTTCAGGGTTCTAGTCCTGCTTCCTGCAAAGCCAAGTCCACATTGCAACCTGACTGCTCTCTCTAAAACCTGACAGTAGCGTTTCTCCACTGGAAGGTCATTACTGACAAGCAGCCTAGAATAGAAAGAGCATCTTCTTAGAAGCCAAATGCTCAGGCTCAAATTCTAGCTCTACACTAGCTAGCTCTATGGCCTTGGGCAAGTTAATCTGGATCTCAATTTCCTCCTCTGTAAAATAGAAATAATACACGTACTACTTCCTAAGATTTCTATAAAGATTAAGTAAGCTGTAGCTAGCACTTAGAAGCAGACCTGGCCATGGTAAGCACCTTAGAAAAATTTTCTATTGGTATTGGCAAGACATTCAGAGTCCTTTGTGATCTTCCAACCTGAGAGCCTCTTTAAACTCCTGTTCCTCCACTCTCTTCACCCGCTTCAAGTTCCAAAAACACCAAAAATTCACCCACCTTGGCCCTGTCCACCTTCTTTCATGGAGAATGTGTTTCTCTGCTTCTCTATCTGGCTAAGTCCCATTTATTATTCAAGATTTGGTTCAGGCAGTGTCTCCTGGGGGAAATCTCCTCTGTCCATTGACTCTCATGACCCAGTTTGAGCTGTTCCTTCTGCTCCCGGAGCACCCTGTTTCTTCCCCTGGCATTGGTTAACTGGTTGGAAACGTATGCATGGCTCTGTCTCCCACATCAAACCTCTTGCTTCCTGTAAACCCTTTATCAGCCTCTACAACTGTGGCACCCAGTTCTGCACCTGGTGCTTCATAAAAGTAAGTTCACTGTACCCTCAATTCTTCTGCTGTGATAAGAGGTCTTGCCAACAGCTCTCATATATCCAACTTGTGCTTTAGCCTTTTGATCAAAATAAATAAACATGTTGGTTGGTTTGTAGTAGCCTCATATTATCACATAATTGATTGACTTAGAGGTAGAGGTGGATGCAGCTAAGAAAACAGCCAGCAGACTGAAACACACCCATCAGCTTGGTGTAATGGGTAGGAATTGAACATTTTTTTCATGTTTCTCAGGTTGGGGACTTGTGTTTCATGTCATTTCATAATTGAGTATGACTTTTTTTTTTTTTTTTTTGAGTTGGAGTCTCAATCTGTCGCCCAGGCTGGAGTGCAGTGGCATGCTCACAGCTACCGCAGCCTCGACCTTCTGAGCTCAGGTGATCTTTCCGCCTCAGTCTTCCAAGTTTTTGAAATTCTCAGCTAGGGAAACAGAAAAGGAAGGAAATCAGCGTTTGTTAAAAGTCTGCATGTCTCAGACCTGAGATTGATTTCACAATCTTTACACTTCCCAGTGAATTCCCAGTAGCCCCATTTCTCAAGAGAGAAGACTGACATTCAAAGAGTCCGGCCGGGCTCGGTGGCTCAGCCTGTAATCCCGCACTTTGGGTGGCCGAGGTGAGTGAATTGCCTGAGCCCGCGGGTTCGAGACCCGCCTGGGCAACTTGGCGAGACATCTCTACAATAAATCAAAAATTAGTCAGGCGTGGTAGCGCGCACCTGTAGTTCCAGCTACTCGGAAGGCTGAGGCGGAAGGATCGCCAGAGCCCAGCAGGTCAAGGCTGCGGTGGCCGGGAGTGGTCACTGCACTCCAGTCTGGGCGACAGAGTGAAACTCCAACTCAAAAAAAAAAACCAAAGAGTCGTAGTAACTTGCCCAAGAACATATTACTAGAAACATGACAAGGCTGGCAGACTGTTTCTTCTGTTTGATACAAACCTTTCAGAAATTCCAGAGTTTATGGGAGCACTGGGTTTTAAGGCCTAACTGGGGACGGAGGGAGGTAGAAATATAATATAAACCCCCAATTAGAGCCAGATGGTGTGGCTAAATCATTTGTGATCCCATTCAACTCCAAAGCCGTGGAAGCAAAAATACTAACCAAAAGAGCTGCCCATTCTTTTTCCATTGATGGATTCAATGTCCTAAGAAAAGTGATCAGTACAAATGGTTTCTTTCTCACTCTCTAACATTCAATAGTTCTTAAATATATTTGCAAAAACCTCATAAGTCTACTAAAAGAAGGGTTCATACTTTAGTGACATCAAGCCCCAAATTCCTTTCATGGTGTACAACACATGGTCATTTCTTAATAAATGTGTATTGGGTGAGCAAATAAACAATTGTGACTAACATTGACTTCATCTCGCAGCTTGACTTCTGGTATCCAGATGACCCCCACCACATAACTGCGAACATGACAGTGGATTTCCGAGTTAGTGAGAAGGAAACCCAGTCCATCCAGTCTGCCTTGGATCAAAATGAAATGCACTATGAGTAAGTCCTATGCAAATATCCAAATGTGTTTCATACTCAAACTTTGAGGAGGCTGGGAACTAAGAGAAAAGTATTACAATAGAAATACTTTTAATTGGGACCCCCCAAAACTCAAGATCTATCTGGAAGATAAAATTCACAGTTATTTCCAGTCTATTGAAGTCTGCTTACAGAGGTGATAAGAGCAAACTTGGCAACTCAACTTCCATCTTACATTTGTTCTGATCTGAGAGAATGACAGTTACACCTACCATCCAAAACCAGCCCCCTCGTAAGCACAAAGCCCTCTCGAGAAGGTATGGATGAATGGTTTATCCACCCATAATCATCCAGAGTTCACAGGCTGCTGGTGATGATCAGTTTCATGTTCTTGTATTTGAATTCTGCTGACACACAAAAAGAAACCCAAAAGACCAAAAAAACAAACAAAAACGGTGCTCATCTGTAAGTCAGAGATGTGGTAATGAAAAGTAGATAATACATAAATGATTCTTTATGAAATAAATTCTTCCTCAGATAAAACAAAAGCAAAGCAGTAGAATAAGGCTTAAATCAGAAAGAAGAGAATCTTAAATTGCCAAAAATGTGTAAATGGGTCATTCTGGTCTCATAGAGAAATAAGAAAAAAAGTAGAATGTGCTAAGCACCAACCATAGGTCATACACAGTCTAGGCCTTGGGGCAGGGAACAAGAAAGGACCCCCAAAATAATATCACAAATCAATGCATAATTTAGAAAATGAAATGTGTTTTCATACTTTCAAGCATTTAGCCATTTGAGGCACTGAGGGGTCCAATTTTAACTCCCCCTGTATTAAGACCCTCACTGTCAAAGCACGTGTTCTTTTTTTTCGTAAGCTTACTGTTTCGTGCCTGTGTTACCTGACTTAGTGTTTTAGCTCAAAGATTTTCTTTTGACTGAGATAAAGGTAGATCTTATTGATGTCAGTAAAGCCATACTGCAGAGCACAGTTTACTGCTGTTCGTCATGTCTTGTTTGTATTTGTGATATTGCTACAATATCTCAAATAAATATTTGAGTGAAACTAAGAAGTCACATACATAAGACAAGTAAGCAAAAACATTCTTGTTTATGATTTTAAAAGTAGCAGGTTTGTTGTGAGGGTTTTATATCATTTTATTTTACTTTATTTATTTCATTTCATTTCATTTTAGATGAGGGCTCTCTGTTTTACCTAGGCTGGTCTCGAACTCCTAGCCTGAAGCGATCCTCTCACCTCACCTCCCAAAGTGCTGGGATTACAGGCATGAGCCCGCGTGCCTGGCTCTTGTGATGGTTTTTTGATCACTGTTTTTGTTTTTGCTACTGTTTCAAGACAGTTGTGAAGAAGTTAATAAATTGTAAAAGTTAGTAAATTGAAAGAACATAATTCAAAATTAACTTATACCAGCATTTAGCCCTTTTAAATGAATATATTCATATGCCTTTTTCTGTTTTTATAAATTATACCATTAAAATTAGAAATGGACACTTCATAAATGTAGCTATGAGATTGCAGACATTTGTAGTACATTTGTAGACTATCTGCTTATGGTTCAGATGATGTCTTGATTCTTTCGTATAAAAGAAACTGACCCTCTATCCTAAATAACTTTGGCTAGTGTGTCTCTTGATTCACTTCATAGTGAGCCTTCTCAAATGTGGGCCTAGGGAATTTCACACCCTTCTTCACTCTACTTCTTCATATAGACCTGATCCGCATTCTTATGATCAACTAACTCTTGCCAAGTATCCAGCCCAAGCGAAAATAAAACAGTGCTCTGGCCAAATTTTATATAATTTGGCTTGAACAGCAGGGTGAAAAATTAGGTATTATGTTTTCCTTAATAACCTTGTAATGTGGTTACAACGTTGAAAATATAATGTAGAAACAAGTTAGTTTCTTGGCGTGAGTATGGATAGTGGAATAAATCATTATAAGGCATCTAGGCAGGCGTCTGACATCCTTTCAGTTTATCAAATATCTCCCATCAGTCCTTTATCCTCTTTAGTCCTCCAGACCTCTCCCAACCCGAAAGGATTCTGACTCAACTTCAGGTCTAATTTTCCAGACCCCCACTATTAGTGTGTTTTTCACTTTGCCATATGCCGAGATAGTTTCTTGCTGTCTACATCAAGAACCAAAGTGTTAAACTACCTACAAAAATTAGTTTTATCTAATTAAGACATGATTTCTAGAAATTGGCTCAAATCAGCCAAAGTTGTGGGAAAGCCACATAATTAGATAGTTACCTTCCTCAGAAATATAAATATGTAAAGTGATCTGTGCAGACAAGAACTATTTAAAATCTTATCTCCAAATACTAATTATATAGATAATTTTATTTGCATAGTAATTGCATGTGTTACTTGGTGTCAGTCAGTAACAGAAGAGGGTTCTAAGAACAGAAACATCTGGTTGGACCCAGGCACCAGGCTGAATTAAACCATGTTAAGAGGTCGGTTTGACACAATGATTTACTGTCTGGATCCAGTCCCTTTCAAACCATGCACTAGACAGTATATATAAGCCACTATTTTTTAAAAACGTATCTGTGTGTGATATTTTTCTTAATTTTTCAGAAAATTAAATTACTAAGCCAGATTTTATTTTAAAGTAACATACTTGCTCCCTTTGTATTCACACAAAACCATAAAAGGCCAAGTCCAAAAAACAAATAATACAGACATATTAACAAACCCAAACAGATTGGTGAACAAATGTCTAAGGAAAGGACATCCATTAGACTGAGCCCCAAGGGGAGACACCATATTTGGATTCAGCAGTTAAAAGCTCTAGTGTTGGGCAACCCCCTTAGGACCCCTCCCACTGTGGGAGCTTTTCTGTCCTCTCAATAAATCCCGCTTTCAAAAAAAAAAAAAAACTCTAGTGTTTTTTAGCATTTTCACATTTTAGATAGTCAGTCTTTAACATTATCTTTCTTTGATCAAAAGTTCAAATTAGAAAACAGTCATTAATGAAAGGTAATTCAAAAAACAACTATTAATATAAAAATAATCAAACTCACATGGTATGATTAAGGAAAATCTTATTAAGATCCACATAAGATTTTGAGGGCAATGCACAAGAGATATATGCCATGCTGACACAGTGATAACTAACACTTCATATTCGTGTCTAATTGCTTAATAAGAATGTTCAGTCAGACACCAATTCATATTCCAAGGATATACACAGTCCAATCGAATAAGTGTTTCCATCAAATAAATCATTCCAATGTGTCAATCCATTCATCTTGCTTTCCTCTCCACATTTTTGCATACTACTTGCCGGAGAGTATGACATATATATTAGGCCTGCTACACATGTTGAAGTGCACCATGGGTCATGGTGAAAAATACAGGAGTGTGGAAGGCAGGGAGGTGGGTTCTGGAGCAAGGCTGTCTGGATCCAGTACCTTTCAAACCATGCACTAGGCATCTAACATTGACAATGTCTTTAGCTTCTCCTCACCTTGTACCTCATCTGTAAAATGGGTACAGTAATGGAACCAATTTCATAGGGGTTTCATGAAGATCAACTGAGACCATAAAGTTACTCTTTGTCTGGTCCTTTATCTTATTTCTATTAATGCCGGTAGAGGAAAGGCCACTCATACCTGTGCTAACATAAATGCACGCACGTACTCACACACATACATACACACACACACACACACACACACACACACACACACACACGTGCAACAGGGGTAACTAGAGACTACCACCATGTGTTTCATTTTCTTCCTAGTAAACAAATCAGTGCCCTGAAGTTTATCATTCAACACAGTAGTATGTTGGCAAATCTATGTCAGCAAGTTGCTTGTATAGTAAGGCAATTAGGGAGTTACCAGGGACAAACTGCATCTTGTGGAACCTGAAACTATACTTTTTGAAGAGCCCCTATCCCGGTGCAAGGTGGGCATCAGGAGAATCCAGATTAGTTTATAGCACATCCTGGCAGTGGCTCTGCCTTCCTAAAACATATTTCCCTACTGCATGTAAACAAACGCACATACACGTGCACACACGCACACACGCCAGAGCCTTTGGCAGTCATATACACTGGCCCACAGTTCTCTATCCTTCTTTGTTACTTTCTAAAAGCAGCATTGGGAGGGAGCTTTGAAATTGTCGAAGTAGAATTCATCTCACCTCTTCTCTGAACCTGACCTTGGGGGACAAGCTTCCATGAGAGTTGGTCGATTGGGTCAACCTTACAGAGGCCTCTGAAGACTAAAGAGAGTACAGTTCTGATGGTAATACCCAGGGAGTTCGTTGGTATACAGTGGTTCACAGCTAGGGTGCTAAAGTCAGACCCCTCCAGGTTCAAATCCCAACTCCTGTATTTTATTGGTTGTGTCCATTTAGGGCATCTACCTGCCTTTCTAAAAATGGACGGTGATTAATTTATACCCAATTAATCACGTTGGTGTGATAAAATGTAAATACAGTGCTCAGCAAAGTGCCTGGGACATAAGAGAGACTCACTAAACATTAACCATTTGTATTATTAAATCCCTAGTGACAATTATTTATCCTTTAACCTTCATTTAGAAATTTTTAAAACAAATTAAGCAAATCTTGGGGCACTAAAAAGAAAGTAATTTGGTTTCATCGGCTTATGCCTGGCTGCTGGTTAGCGGAAGGGCTCATGAAAATAACATCTGGCCTTAGTTCTTATTTCCAGCCTTAGGCTTAATTTCTAGTCCCTATCAGCAGCAATCTGGCACCATTCTGATGTCCTCGTGCAGCTGCATTTGTGGAAAGATAGTATTTCAGCTGACACGATTTTTCTTTTTTTCACTGCTGGTATCACAAGAGCTAAATTGATACGTGTAAGTCTAAAAATATTCTTAGATACAAGCTTCCTGTGACTAATTAATACTGTCTTATGTTGCAAATCAACCTCTGGGACCATAAAATTTCTTTTTTTGCCTGGTTCCTCTATTTCTACTAATGCAAGTAGAGCAAAAGCCATGAGCCCTGTTTAGCGCTTAAGGCAATTAATTATGTCTATAATGACCACCCAAAATATGATTTCAAACCTTCCCAGGCTATGTGTGAGCTTTAGTGCAACATGCACCATCTGATTCCAAAATTGCTGTCACAGATTTATTTTCTCAGAAATCCCAGATTCATCATAAGTCAAAAGGAAAGCACACAGTGAGTTAGAGATAATGTGCATAATGATGTGCTTGTCAGTGCTGTTAATGGGAATCAATATTCATGAGCAGTACTGGGTCCCATGTGCTAAATAAACTCTAATTAGGAGTATATGGCGTTTGTGTTCCACATCAGAACTCAGATCAGTCAGTCAATCAGCAAGGAGAAACCAACAAGCAGAGTGGAGCTCTGCAGTGTCATAGCTCATTATCATAAGAAATTGAAGAAATCAAAGAGTCAAGCAACAACATATCATCAAAGCCTGGTCTAAAAATGTGTTAAGTCTGTAAAGTGATTGTCAATTTTGTGACTCAACTTCACTATGATTCTGCAGTTCATTGGGTGCCTAAGGCCTGCCAAACACTTCTCATATTTTGCGTCATTTCGTCATCCCCACAAACCTGGGTGGTATATGTGGTTTCATGGTAAAGGTTAGAAAACGGAGGCTCAGAGAGAAAATTAAACTGTCCAAGATCACATGAAGCAGTAAGTTGCCAAACTGGAATTGGAACCCAAGAATGTCTGACCACAGGTCACTGCTTACTTATTTGATAGGATTTATGATGGTGGAGAATGCATGATAGTGTCCTAAATGACTAGAATGCATGTCAAAAATCGACAGTAATCTACCTGCATACAGGATTCACTAGTAACAGCAGGAAAATATACATGCATCAACGGAAAGTGAAATAATCTAAATAAGAAAATTGTTCAGATAAGTACAACTTTTAAAAAAATCTTTTCTTTTTAATATTTTCATTGAATCATTTCCACCATAAGCTACAGTTTTCTGCCCTGCAAAATAGAGTATATTGAATATACTTTACCATTGGGTGGAGGATTATTATAAACATGAATTTTCATACTGTGTTATGAGAAAATGGTATTCTCAAGGGCTATTGAAGCTGCCAAAGGATGCTGAGCCATTTGGACCTGCATCAAGGGACCACTGAGACCCTGTTTGCTAAGTCCTTCTGAGTAGCTTTACTCTCCTTTTTGTGTGTGTGTTTGTGTCAACTATCACCTACTGATAACACTGTGCTAGCTTTCAGTAAGTCATTTCCCCTATATTCGATGCATTTCTTCTAGATTAAACAAGCTTTTTAGAACTATATCTAAAATAAAAGGAACAAGGCTCTTTGTGAGGGTGTTTGTACATCTCCTACAGCTGTAAAATAATGCTTAACATATTAAGGAATCTAATCATAGACTTCCATGCAACCATACAGCAATGGAAAACAACATTTGATCACATAAATGGATGCTACCATATTAATCTCAAAGTGATATTCAGTATAATACTTAATAGCAAGAGACAGGTTTTCCTGTTAAAAGCAGAAGAAAAAGAAGAATGTCCCTTTTCACTATTATTTATCACAGTTCACAGAGCTTAGCCAATGCAAAAAAGCAAAGAAAGAAATCATTATTGAGAAAAAGTAGAAACTGTAGTTATTTGCAGAAGAATAACAACACAGAAAATCCTAAATGCATAACTAGAAATTCTTAAAAATAAAAAGATAGTTTTTTAAGCTACTAAGGTGGCTGATAGGTAAGTGTAACCAAAGCAATTCGTTTTTTAAATGTATGAATATTGTAATCACCAATTCAAAAATGTAGTGGGAAAAAAAGCCACTCACAAGACTAATAAAAATTTATAAATAAGCAATCAAAAGATATAAAATTTACTAAAGAATAAAAAATATACAATTATAGTATGTCCTAAATTAATAATATAATTATTCTCAACTTATTCATAATTTCATACAGTTTCTATCAAAAGCCCATTTTTCTAAAGATTCTAATAATTTGTAAAATGATTCTGACAAAACATTTATTAAAAACAGGTGAAGTTATTCAAAAGATTTGAAACAAGAATAAGGAGATACTCTAGTATTAAAATTTTGCTGTAATTAAATATGACTTGACATTTATGCAAGCATACAAAAACAGATTAATAAAGCAAAGAGAAAATCCCAAAACAGTCAAAGTGCTTTAAAATATTTACATATATGATAAAGATGGCATTTCAAAAAAAATAAATCTTGAAGTCAGGCGGTTTGCATTCAAGTTCTTAACTTGACCACATACAAATTTTGAGTATCTTTCTAAGCACTAATTCCCTCATCTGTAAAATGGTAATAATATGACAAAGTTAACAAAAATAATGTATGTAAAGCTGTGCCTGGTCATATTAAACAAGTGGATGTCTAAGTCCAAGTGTACACGTCATGTAGGCAGTTGGATGTGTGAGCCCAAAATTCAGGGAAGAGATCAGACCTGAAGATTCAAGTATGAGTGCCTATAGGTAACCATTAGAGTCATGGGACCCCACAAGATAATGAGGAAGAGATGACTCAGGAAGAGATGAGAATGGGAAGAAGACGAGGCATAAAGCTTCTGCACCCAGCACTAGCCTCCTACCGATTTTTATTTCATCCCCTCCAAATCATCTTAGCCATTTTCTAGATCCATAACCATAGATAAGCTTTTTCAACACTTTGTGCCTGGTTTTTCTTATTTGTGAGACATGGATAATAATCTCATGTGAAGATCAAATGTATTATTAATAATAATGTACATAAGGAAATCAGAGCAATGCTGGGCACGAAGTAAGTGCTAAGTACCCACTTACTATTATTACTATCATTATTGTTATTCAAGTTTCACCCAGCTCTCAAAATGTGGAGTTATAAGGAATGGTCTGTAGATTTGTGCATTAAAATACCCCTTGATGCCTGTGTTGAGTGGATATGTGTTTTGAAGAAAGATGGGGTGTACTTTAGCAGAACAATACAAGCTGCATGTGTAATTTCAAATATTCTAGTAGCTACATTAACAAAGTAAAAAGCAACAGGTAAAACTAATTTAGTGATATGTTTTATTTAACCTAATATATCTGAAATATTATTTCAACAATCAATATAAAATTCATTAGTATCTGACACATGCAGCAATCTCTATTTTTGGCAAGCCCCATTTTAAGTGTTCTACAGCCACTTGTGACTAGGGACTGTCATGATGGACAATTTTAGATAAATGGGGACATCGGAAGCCGACCAGACATATGACATGTCTAAAGGAGATAGCTGGGACAGAATAATGAAGAAATGGAGCAAGCTTGATTCAAGATAGAGGAGAGGAAGAGAAATGTTCTGCTAATGAAAGATAGCTGTGGTTTTTCTTTCCTGTGATAAAATGTGCATTTTATCATTCTCCTGTCAAACAGAATCCTGATTCATGATCTACAAGAAGAGGTTGAGAAGCAGTTTGATGTTAAAGAAGATGTCCCAGGCAGGCACAGCTACAGAAAATACAACAACTGGGAAAGGGTATGGGTACAAAATGCTTGTATTTTAAAAAAAAGTTACCCACAACATTTTTTGCCATTTTGTTTTCTTTTATTCTCATCTCTCAAAATTGGTTTTGCTCTTAAGATCGTTGCTTGGACTGAAAAAATGGTAAATAAGCATCCCGAGATGGTCTCTCGTATTCAAATTGGATCCACTGTGGAAGACAATCCTCTATATGTTCTCAAGGTAAAAAATAATTCAAAGACCACTGCTTCTTATCTTTATTGAAAAATCATGAATTTAAAAGTTACTTTACAACCCTACCAAGCTAATTCTGAGACAATAAGAAGTATTATCTTTGTAAGACATTTAAGCTGTAGACATTCATTCAAGAATAGAAGTGACAGGTGTTTTCAGTGGAACCAAAAAAGTACTCAATAAACATTTGTCAGAGATTGCACAGTGGACAAATTCACCAAATATCTTATCCTACAGTTTTATTACAAGAGTTTGTGATGCCCCTGGTGTATAAAACCCATCAAAATTTGGTGAAACTGATGAGTGAATGTCATAAAGGGGAATTTAAATCTCGTAGACTCATAGGACCCCAGAACAAAACGTTAGGTATTTCAACCTTATATTGATGTAAGTTATCTTTCTATAACAGAGCTAACAATTGCCATTCAATTGCTGCTAGATTTTTGTTCATGCTAAGATACTGCTCGCTGAAGCAGCCACATAATAACTGGGAAGCCCATTCTTACCCTGAACACCCATTCATTCATTGTCACCAACCACTCAAAACAAATCGGAACTCTCTTCAAAATGACAGCCCTTCAAATATCCAGTACTATTCGTCCTCCTCACTCCAACACAACACAAAGTCTTCTTCACTCCAGGCTTAACATCCCCAGTTTATAAAACCAGAAAAACAAAAAGAAATGACAGAAAGAGAAGTGACCTTATAATCTATTATTTCTCAGAACATAGGATGTTAGCAATAAAATAAGAAAAATAATAGATTACGATTTTTTCCAAAATCCTTAAAGCTGCCCTGACACTATGAAAAAATTTGGAAAATATAGGATGTAATAGATTATGAATTATGTATAAACATTGAAGACTATGTTTCACAGTCCACCCTGAGAATAATATGAGCATGCGTGGTTCTCATTCAGCAACAGATGGGGTAAGAGTCTCTTTGAGAATATGAATGAGTTATTGGTTGGCAAAGGATCAATGTGTGAATCCGTGCAAAATAATATCTCAAGTTTATTTCTAAGTAGATAGGGAAAGAGAATGAAAGAAGAAAGGCTATTTTTATGGATTGCGGCATTCATGCACGAGAATGGGTCTCCCCTGCGTTCTGCCAGTGGTTTGTCTATCAGGTAAGTGAGTCAGAATCCTCACACTTCTCTGACTGCCAAGTCTCCAGCATGTCACTGAATGGCAACACCCTTTCCATATGTGCAGTTCCACTTAACTAGAAGCACCCGTATTGGGTCCTGTCAGGGAAGAAATGCTTTAGTTTTACCCATCACTGCAGTTTTTATGAAATTGATACCTTCTTTTCAAACAATTCTTGAACTCCAACTGTGTTTCTTTTATGAAGCTTTTTTTTGGGGGGGGGACTATAACATGGAAGCTTTTTCTATAGTCAAAAATGGAAAATCTAAGCCGGGCTTGGTGGCTCAGCCTGTAATCCCGCGCCTTTGGGAGACTAAGGTGAGTGGATTGCCTGAGCCCGCGGGTTCGAGACCCGCCTGGGCAGCGAGACCCCATCTCTACAATAAATCAAAAAAATCAGCCGGGCGTGGTAGCGCATGCCTGTAATTCCGGCTACTTGGAAGGCTGAGGCGGAAGGATCGCTGGAGCCCAGCAGGTCGAGGCTGCGGTGGCCGGGAGTGGCAACTGCACTCCAGTCTGGGTGACAGAGTGAGACTCCAACTAAAAAAAAAAAAATGGAAAATCTAAAACCACCTTCATGTACTAGCTATAAATTTGACCCTTCGTCAATGAGCTCAAAATGTAGATCCCTCATTCCTGTTTAGATATGTCATTGGCCACACATGTACTTGGAACTTTCATATTTAAATTTTCTTTCAAAGTGAAAAATAACTCATTTTTTGAACAGTATATCCAGTTTATCTACTTGATATTCCTCTCACTCCATTGCCATTGTATTCTGACTCCTTCTAGCTTTTGACTTTCTCTTTCTGCCAGTTTTTATACATAACATACTCATGAAATATGCATGGCAATGGTTTTCCGGGCATGGATGCTTTCACTAGAAAAGAATCTGCCACTAGAACTGACTTATTGTTTTAGCTTTCTCATCTGAGGGCCAAGAACTTCCTTTACTCAACCCATAAAGGGACACACATTATGGGGCTACATAAAATTTCTTAGCTCCAATACAGATGTGTCTGGAAGGGATTTTCCAAGAGTGGTGAGAGAGATTTTAGGTAGCCACAGAAAGTCCAAATAATTAGAGAAGTTTCAGTCCTCTATGAAAAAAAAGTTGATTGTTCAATCTTTATATTCTTGAGTATCTTATTAATACAAATGTTCTTCTTTAATCCTGTTTATAGCTACTTTATAGACCCTCTCCAATATTTTCATATTCCTCTGCCATCAGACTCAATCCATATTTATGTAATGGATGTGGGGGAACATCCATTTTAAACAGGTTGTACTGCTAATTTTTCACTTGACCTCCATTCTTCCTGTGAAACATATCTTGCATGCTACATTTAGAATGCCACAAGTCTTAATAATTAAATGATCCTTTAAAGCAGTGGTCCCCAACCTTTCTGGCATCAGAGACTGGTTTTGTGGAAGACAACTTTTCCATGGACCAGAGGATGGGCAGGGGATGTTTTCAGGATGATTCAAGTGCATAACATTTATTGTGCACTTTATTTCTATTCTTGTTACATTATAATATACAATGAAATAATTATACAACTCACCATTTTAAAAAAAGATGTGGATAAAAGTGGTAAGTGAAATAATGGGTGGGCCACACACAGACTAATATAAAGCCTGCCACCAGATGCAGCTGTACAATTGAAGTACATCAGCTCACTTGTGACTCACTAGTAGGGTTTTGATATGAGTCTGCAAGAAGTTGATTTATTGTGGTCTCTGTGCAGTCAAACCTCACTGCTAGTGTTAATCTGTATTTACAGTCAGTTCCCAGTGCTAGTATCACTGCCTCAGCTCCACCTCAGATCGTCAGGCATTAGATTCTTATAAGGATCACGCAACCTAGATCCCTCTTATATGCAGTTCACAATAGGGATCATACTCTCACGAGAATCTAATGCTGCCCCTGATCTAACAAGAGGTGGAGCCCAGGCAGTAATGCAAGTGATTGAGAGGAGCTGTAAATATAGATGAAGCTTCACTTGCTTGCCTGCCATTCACCCCCTGCTATGTGACCCAGTTCCTAACAGGTCACGGACCAGTACCAGTCCGTGGCCCGGGGGTTGGGAACTCGTGCTTTAAAGAATGTTCATTTCAATTAATATCATTAGCATGGATAAGTGAGATCTACATAGGTCATTTATTTTTGTTCATTTTAGGAAAAATATGTTTGAACTTCTGTGATCTTGAGTAAATGACAAGTTATTACTATTATAACCACAGCTTTCCACATAATAACTAAACTTCACATCAATATCTCAATTTTATCCTACTCCTACAGGCAACCAAAACTTATGGAAGAAACAAAATTATGACCAAACTCTTGGACCGAATGAATTTTTATGTTCTTCCTGTGTTCAACGTTGATGGATATATTTGGTCATGGACACAGGTACTGCTTTGTACTCTCTTGTTTGCATTTAGATAATATATTATTTACTGGCTTAATGCACATTGAATGTTATACATTAAGTTCTCAGTATCCAGTTAATTCCAATTCAGAAAAGTATATTTTTTAAAATCTCAGACTAAGTCAAGTATGACCTCCTAGTTGTATAGATGTCCCTGAAATAATATGAAATTTTTACTGCTGAAGCTAGTTATGTGAAAAAATGAAAAAAGCAGTAATTATAAAGGAAATGTATCATTATATTATATGATAATGGAATATTCCAGCTAAGAATAAAAGCCATTTTAAAACATTTTGAACACATTAATTCAAAATAAAAGTCATTGTCTCCCATCAATTTGGAACAGGATTTGAAGTGGAATCACTGTACCAAAAAATAAATAAAAGAGAGACACATACATTTGTTTGTCTTTTAACAGGATCTTTTATTTCCTGGATGTTGCAAAATAAGATTAATATTGAAGTTTCAGATGGCACTATCACAACAAATTCTTTCCTGAAAATTATGCTCCAACAATCACAATTTGACCTGCATTATATCTGAATCTATAAATGGTGAAAGATGTAATGACATTATAATTTAAAGTACGGGTAATTTTAGAATACCATTAAATATTTTCCAGTGCTAAAAACTAATCAACAGTTTTTAAAACTAACTGAATGATTCCACTAAGGCCTAAGACTATTAATATTAAAAATCATATTTCTGAAAATATTACAAACCATAAGAAAGCAATATGTTTTCTTTTTAAATAAAGGGCCTCAAGTTGACTAGATAGATTTCAAATAAAGCTGTAGACACCTGCAAAGAGAATCTGAATTGATTAAATTGAAGAATGCAAACTGATCCTGTGTAAACACTTCTATCATTCAATCTGACAGAACCGCATGTGGAGAAAAAATCGTTCCAAGAACCGAAACTCCAATTGCATTGGCACTGATCTCAACAGGAATTTCAATGCTTCCTGGGACTGTGAGTAGCAGACCTGGTCTCAAGGCAGCTTGCTATAAAGAACACTTAGACACCAAACTTAGCCAAGCCACCTACTTATTTCTGCAAAAATAGGTATTTCCTGAATGAATTTTAATTTTCTTGTCTATAAAATGGAAGATCATTGTCACTACCATTGAGAGATCATGAATGTTTTGCTGTGTGGAAGGAAGTGGGGAGTCAGTGGTTGTTTATCAAGTCTCCTCTTCCTTAATAAATCTAACTTGCTAAAAATCAGACCCAATCCAGATGTACAAAAATTCAGATAACCTGAAGAGAGATCTCAGGTCCTCCTCTTCCTTGTCGGATAAAAGCTGAGAAATATCAGTGGTTAAAACCAATGTACAGGTAGAGCTTTAGATGTTTAGTGAACAGATACATCTAGGGCAAAGAAAGCAAAAAAGTTTAATGGAAATACAATAATAAGGAGAGGCCTGCTATATCAGATGATGCCTTCGTTGCTGTACAACTATGACTTTATCATTACACACGTTCAAGGAGAAATTACCACTTCCCCCAATTCATATATTTCTTCTAGACCTAATTTTTTTTGTGGGGAAGTGGGGTCAAGGTCTCACTCTGTCACTAGACTGGAGTGCAATGGCATGATCACAGCTCATTGCAACCTTGACTTCCTGGGCTCATTGCAACCTTGATCCTTCCGCCTCAGTCTCCCAAGTAGCTAGGACTACAGGCATCCTCCACCACACCCAGCTAATTTTTTAAATTTCTTTTTTGTAGAGATGTGATCTTGCTATGTTTCCCAGGCTGGTCTTGAACTCCTGAGCTCAAGAAACCTTCCAATCTACACCTTCCAAAGTGCTGCTATTACAAGCGTGGGCTACCTCACCCAGCCTTAGACCTAATTTTTTTTTTTTAATATCACCTCAGCTTTTAACTCTACTCTGTCAAAATGAATATGATAATAGCAGCCTCTTTCCTGATTGAAAGCTTCTTGCTGAAACAGGCTGAAGAAACTCAGAGAGGGTAATTTACACAAGCCCCCAGCACTGGGGTTGAATTGACAGTGGGGTCAATCTGACTCCAAGCCCAAGGCTGTTTCTGATGTATTATTCCTGTGGCCCTGAGAAAGAAAGGGGGAAATAAAGAAGGCTCAGAATACTTCAGTGGGCAAAATCTGTTGCAATCCAATGTGTGTGTGCAAAGTTAATCTGCAGAATGTTGACATAAGAGACATTGAAGTAGCCCTGTAAATATGAGAGGCCAAAATGTGTAAAACAGTTTGTGAATCCATTTCAGAAGAGGCAGGAGCTATACTGACTGGGAGCAGACTGTTATCTCATCCACTCATGTCTTCTGCAGCTTTTCCTGACACCAATAACCCGTGTTGGGAAACATATAGGGGCCCCGCACCAGAGTCTGAGAAAGAGACAAAAGCTGTCACGGACTTCATTCGAAGTCACCTGAAGTCAATCAAGGTTTACATCACCTTCCATTCCTACTCCCAGATGTTATTGTTTCCCTATGGATACACATCAAAACTGCCACCCAACCATGAGGACCTGGTATGTAAAAAAAAAGAAAAGTCTATGGTTTACACTTTGACACCACCATTGACTTTCTGCCTATTCTTCATTAACTTGAGTTATGTTGAAAGGATTTCATATTTTAATACCAAAGAAAAGAACGAATGAGTTTGCCTTGGAGTTAAAATCATGATATTTTTCTTTTCTTTTTGAGGAAGCAGTGTTTATTGAGAGGACAGAAAAGCTCTCAGAGTGGGAGGGATCCCAAGGGGAGTTGCCCTAAAATCATTATCTTTTTCATTTAATAAAAGCATGTGGATAATAAAATCTTTCAATGTAATTCTAAGAAAAAAAACCAACAGGAAGAAATGTCTAGGCCATCCCCAGTAGATCTATTACTACTCAGCTCACTATGAAGTTTAATATTTACTATAGGTCATGTTGTAAAAACACATAAATCAAAAGTCTAAACAGAACAACAAAGACATTTGCAAGTCCTGTCCCCCAGACACCAGACTTAAAGAGATTCGTTGTATTTATATCCTTCTGATCAACTTGGAAATATTAATTCTTTTCCAATCCATAGAAAGAACTCACGAAATGTTTGTGCAGCTTCCTCACTAGCTTCCTCACTAAGAAAACACCATTCTTCCAAAACCATGATATTAAGCACCATTTTCCTTTCTATGAAAATTGATTTGATAGTGTGAGCTTAAAAAAGAAAAATCCTGCATATGGGTATCATTGAATCACAGGAACTAAACAGAGTGAATGAGTAAATAGAGAGATAAATATTCTAGATTGCTGTAGAGGAAAAGAAAGTAGATAAAGTTCAGTGACCCAGATCCACTGAATTGGCAAATATAGCACAACCAGTAAAAACTATGATTCAAATACTACCTCATACAATTAAATTTATTTTTAAAAAGAGGTCACCATTTTCGCCTTGACCTCAGTCAGTTGTATTCAGCCCAAGAACATTTAATTTTAGTTGGAGCAGAAATTTGAAACAGTCATTCAAATCATCTATATATAGATAACAAAGAAAATATACAAGCAATGTGTGCCCATAGGCTCTTTTGTTATCTAATCTAGCTGAGAATCTGAACTATGAGTCTGATTAATCTATGTTAAGGGGCAGCAATACAATTTCAACCCACTCTTAGAAAAATGACATATGGATTTAAAAATACACATATGCACATGAAAATACTTTGAGTAAAATAAGAGTTCTTACACACAACTTAATTGGTTAAGAAAAATGTATTTCTTGGTTATATACATACAGTTTTTTAAAAATCTTCATTTGGGGGGCAAATATGTTAGTGACTATATTCCATTAAAGTTCATTCTAACAGTCCTTCTCATAGCACAAAACACTAACACATATTAAAGTTCATGACATGAACTCTGCCACTCTGGAAGAAAAACCCTAGCTTAAGAACCATTTTAAAGAAGAGTCAACCCATTTCCTCCCCAGGCATGCTGAAGTCAGATGAGTGGAGACAGTCCTGTGACAATAGGAGTTGTATTAAAGAAAGACAAAGAAAGAGACAAATATCTGAAGCCAAAAAAAAAACTAAGAGAAAGAAGAATATATATTTTAAAAGAAAGGAATGGGGGGAGAGAGAGAGAAAAGAAAAAGCAGAAACACAAGATGAGATATGGCATTATTGTATATAATTGACGGCATATTTAAGTCTACAATTACAACATATGTAACCAGAGATAAGTTTCTCCTTTAACCATGTATTTTATTTTGATCTTCAAATGCCAAATTGACTTTTTAAAAGTTATCGATAAATTCATGGTATTTACAGAGTATCCTATTATCCTACTCTAACTTTTCTTTCTCACCAGGCCAAAATGGCAAAGATTGGAACAGAAGCTTTATCGACTCGATATGAAACCCGTTACATCTATGGCTCAATACAGTCAACAATTTGTAAGTTTTTCTTCATTTACTGGTCCTTTTTCTCTAATTATTTTTGTTATTACTAAAGAAAATCGTACAATTTGAAAATTAGGGTTAGAATATCAGGAAGTGCTCATTTAAACTCTTTTCTTCATAGGATATTCTACATTGTATGTGAATCTAGGAGGATAGACTCTGCCCTTCTTGGGACAAGATTTTTCTAGAAACTATACAAACTTGTACACGGTTACAAAGTCAACAAAAGTTATTAAATCAGGCTAAAGATGCAGTTTAATTTATCTACCTGTTTTTCCACTTCTATCAGCAACAAGATTTTAATCCTCACAGGAACTAACAAAAATTAGTTGGAACAGAGTCTACCCTTTTTTTTTTTTTTTTTTTAACCATTTAAACTTCACTGGACTCTTTCTTACTTGGCTTTGTCTCCATGCAAGTATGATCTCTTCCTTAGCTCCTGGTAGGAAACAAGGTGGACAATTTGGTGCTTTGAGCACATAAAACCAGTTATTTGTCCTTCTCACCCATATCTTTTCATTATGTTCAACTGAAAAGTATGTGGTACACTAGAAAAGAAGATCACAAGATTCTAAGGTTCTAGTTCTGTCACTTCTGTTTTATATTCTCAGCACCACTTCTTATTCTTTACCATTCTTACTCTTCACCATTCACTTTTGCTGTCTTTGTATATTTTCAAATTACTGACTTAGATTTCTTGGCCTTGATTTTCTTATCTCTTATTCGATTTGCAAAGAATCAATAAATTTTTTTCTATAACGATTCAGATAGTAAATAGTTTCAGCTTTGCTGGGGGTTGCAGCGACTTAGGTGAGACATTGTAGTTCAAAACAACCATAGACAAGCTGGCAAATGGGCATGGCTCCCAAAAAAACCTCATTCACAAAAACAGAAGGCTGATCATAATTCACCAACATCCATACTATATACTACTAAATATTGTCTGCAGTTCTTTATCAAATCTTTCTTACAAGTTAGGCACTGGGCTTAGCCCTTGATTTTCACAATCTCAAACCTCATAGCAACCCTATAAGGTGGCAGGGTTATTTCCCAGTTACTGGTAATTGGTGAAGCTGGGACTTCACAAAAATCAAAGCCCATGATCTCACCCACTTTGCATATACTTTTGCATTTGGTTTTCATAGCTGAAATATCCAGGATCTTCTATTTTCAGGAGCCCAAAAAAAAAAAATGTATTTGGTTGTTGTCAAAGACTATTAATTCAGACCCTGGGAAGTGAGACTATTTTCTGACTTACAGAAAGCTCCCAGTCATCTTAGTTTGGGAATACTTTAGTAAAGACCATCTTTTCTCCAAACCAAGTTCAAGCTTCAGTTTTTAGTTTCAAAATGTACACAGCAGCTGGGCTCGGTGGCTCAGCCTGTAATCCCGCGCCTTTGGAAGGCTGAGGTGAGTGGATTGCCTGAGCCCGCGGGTTCGAGACCCGCCTGGGCAGCGAGACCTCATCTCTACAATAAATCAAAAAATTAACTGGGCATGGTAGCGCATGCCTGTAATTCTGACAACTCGGAAGGCTGAGGCGGAAGGATCACCGGAGCCCAGCAGGTCGAGGCTGCGGTGGCCGGGAGCGGCCACTGCACTCCAGTCTGGGCGACAGAGTGAGACTCCAACTCAAAAAAAAAAAAAATGTACACAGCATTTCCAATGAAGTGTCTCAAAAGCAAGAATTATGTTTCAGCTTTCCTCTCAAATCCTATAGCATAAAGCACAGTACAGGACAAGGAACAGCAGAATTAACTCCCACATACTTGCTCAGTGAAAATGGTGTCCTGGCTTATTCAAAAGCAGAGACTGTGGGTTGAAACCACAACAGGATTGAACTTGAGTTCACCTGTATCACTCTCTAGACTGATGATACCCAACCATTTTTCGCATAAAGACAGCCTTTTAACTTTAAAAAATTTCATGGACAATTCTGCCGCCACCAAACACATGCTTTTTTTTCTATTATACTTTTAGAGTCTGTGTATCAAAAAATCCACAGATTCTTTGCAATGACTTGAGTAGACCACGGCTTATAAACCACTTTCCTAATCTAAGCTAAAAGAATAAAGTTGGAACTAAAAATCTACATCCTCAAAATGTAATTTGAAAATGCTGGAGTCATCACATGCGGGTTCTAGGACCTCTTGTTAAAGCCTCCTTTGGTGGAACTGGAAAATAGCTGAAAAACAGACAAGTTCCATTCCTAGAGAACATCCCTCAGCAATCATCTATCAACCAGTCATTGTTAAAGTGCTGAAGAAAAAGCATAGTGATACTGGTGATTCCCAGTATCCACATAGATCTTGCTACAAACTTGCTGGGCTGAGGACTCACACACACAAGTGACAACAAGACCTCACAATGGATCATATATACCCAGGTACATGAGTGGACAAAAAGCAAGCAAAGTAAAGAACATGAGGACAGAGCAGAACACCCGTTTAAAATGGCAACCTACCAGCCTGGGCAACTTGGCGAGACCTCGTCTCTACAATAAATCAGAAATTACCCGGTCATGGTAGCACATATCTGTAGTTCCGGCTACATGGAAAGCTGAGGCAAAAGGTCACCGGAGCCCAGTAAGGTGACGCTGGGGTGGCCGTGAGTATGCAGCTGCACTCCAACCTGGGCAACAGAGTGAAACTCCAACTCAAAATAATAATAACAATAAAAATAAATAAAATAACAACCTAAAAAAACCATATTATGTCAGTAATTAGCATGAAATGAAACAACCAACAGAAAATAAATGCCAATGGTGAGAAAACAAAAATGGCAATCTAACTTAGTGGACATTGAGAAGTAGCAGGACCAAATAAGCCACCCAGACATCATGTAAAAACAATTCCTCTGAGCAAGAAAAGCACAGTATATTCTTGGGGGCAAAAAACAAAGTGCTCCAAACAGACACAAACTTTGTGAATGGCAATTAGAGCATCAAAGAATTATCCCTATATATGTGTACACGCGTGCGCGAGTGTGTGTGTGTGTACATTTTAAACTATGAGTACCAGAACCACACCTGGCATTGTGTCACAATCTCAATCAATCTCTCTCTCTCTCTCTCTATCTCTCTCTCTCTCTCTCTTTGAATTGGAGTCTTACTCTGTTGCCCAGGCTGGAGTGCAGTAGCATGCTCACAGCCACTGCAGCCTTGACCTGCTGGGCTCAAGAGATCCTTCTGCCTCAGCCTTCCAAGTAGCTGAACCTACAGGTCCATGATACCATACCCGGCTAATTTTTGATTTATTGTAAAGATGAGGTCTCCCCAACTGCCCAGGCTGGTCTTGAACACTTGAGCTCAGGCAATCCCCTCGCCTCCGCCTCCCAAAGTGCTGAGATTACAGGCGTGAACCACTGCGCCCAGCTACAAACTCTTAATTCACAAAAATGTATGGCATGCCCTAACCGCCCAGCACTTTGAAGTTTTCAGAGACAGGTGAGAAGAGTTCAACATAACAACTGCTCTAAAGAAGTCACAATCTAAACAGAGGGGCAGATAGTCCAAACTACCATAGCACCATTTTATCATGTGTCACTTTCAAAATGAGAAGACAGGGTCCAAGGGAGATTACTAATCTATATAACTGTGTAGCATGATTTAAAATTTTTTTGTTATATTAAAATGTCATTAAATGAGTTGACATTTAGAAAGAATTGCCTCTTTCTTGCAGGGTTGTAGCAGCTTGATAAATTTCCAAGATTTCTAGAAGTGACTGCCTTAATATAGCATCTGATTGAATATTAATCAAACATTTGTGAGAAACAGAGGATAAGAAAGTGGTTGATTTAGTAAGAATAGAAAATAAAATCTTGATTAAAGTTTAGTCATTCCAATATCCTGATTGTTACTTAACAAGTTCCAGGATTTAGGAAAAACATATAGTGTTTGACAATATTTTTCTCTCTTAGATTTGAAGACAGAAGAACAGGACTGAGGGAGCATTTCTTAAACCCAAATTATGGAGAGATGTCTGACTTTCCAAAAAAAAATGAATTAATAAAAGTTTGCTATTTGAACCTGAAAAGCAAATATATCAGATAAATTAAATCATAAATTTTGTAACCAAGGGGAGACCAAGGCAATGACCCAGTCGTTGGTTCTCCAAGCCTGACTTCCCACTAGACTCATCAGGGAGCTCTTAAAATATATGGATGACTAGACCCCATTCCCATAGATTCTGATTTCATCAGTCTGGGATGGAGTTCAGGTATTCAATTTTTGTTAAGTTTCCAAAGTGATTCTAAGATTAAACTAGGGTTGTGAACCATTGATTTAGGTTAAACCTCTCATCTATAGACTTAAATTAATATACAGAAAGCACAGAACATGAACAAAAATCAGTATTCTAGACCAGAGTCAAAGTGGTATAACAACTACTTTGCCCCAAAGCAGCAATATTGAGATGGCACAAAAAAATTAAATAATGACATTCAAAGATTTTGAAATGTTTACATTTGCATATTAACAGCATATTTAGTCCTTCATCATCTTAGAAGTCACTGAACATAGTACTTAATGAGAAAGAATAGTTATTTGAATTGATAGGAACCAGGAAACTTGCATCATTAATAAAATCCATGTGGGCCGGGCACAGTGGCTCAAGCCTGTAATCCCAGCACTTTGGGAGGCCAAGGTGAGAGGATTGCCTGAGCCTGCAGGGCAACATGGTGAGACCTCATCTCTACAATAAATCAAGAAATTAGCTGGGCGTGGTAGCACGCTCCCATAGTTCCAGCAATTTGGAAGGCTGAGGTGGAAGGATCACCTGAACCCAGCAGGTCGACGCTGGGGTGGCTGTGAACATGCCACTACACTCCAGCCTGGGCAGCAGAGTAAGACTCCAACTAAAAAAAAAAAAAAGTCCATGTGTAAGTCACACCATGTATTAAAAAACTAATTTCAAAATGTGTTTTGTGTTGCCTTCCTCCTGCAGCAAATGTGTTAGACCTACTCCAGATTCTCAATCCTTGCTCTTTTTTCATAT